GAAACACCCCACGTACAACAAATTACAACGGCCACAGCGAATATATTAATTTAGCGCGATATCATCACAAAACAACACCGTCAGAAGCAAACGTCACGCGATTACTTCCACCGCATACTTTCCACGCGTATACTTACGAAACAGGGAAACAACTTCAACGTACAAGCAAATTTACAAGGGCACAGAGAATCTATTATTAGCGCGATATTCACGACGAAAACACGTCCAGAAGTAAACATCCAATACAGCGATACTTTCCACGGATACCTGATCCACCGATACAATTTCCACTGGATACTTTCCACCGATATGTTCCACTGATACTTTCCACCGATACTTTCGAAAACAGGAAAACAACTCACGTACAATCAAATTTACACTAGGCCACAGCGAATAATATTTAGCGCGATATCACATGCTAAAAACGAGATCCAGAATTAAACATCCATGTCAGCGGATACTTTCCACCGAATACCATCCACCGATACTTTCCAATCGAACTTCACCGATACTTCCAAACCGATACTTTTCCCCAATATTTTCCACTGATGCTGTTTCACCAAATACTTACGGAAACAGCGAAAACAACTCCACGCTACAACAAAATTTACAAGGCCACAGCGATATAATATTTAGCACGAGGATTCACACAAAAACGCGTCAGAAATAAACAGTCCACTGGATACTTTCCAGGCCGATCCCATTCAACCGAATACTTTCCCCGATAATTTTCACTGATATCTTTCCACCGAAATACTTTCCGCCGATACTTTCCACCGATACTTTCTGCCATACTTTTTCACAAACTCTTCGAAAAACGTAAAACATAACAGCGCGTACAATGACAGAAGCACAAGCGATGTTTATAATTAGCAGACAATTCACACAAACACGTGACGACATCTTGTTTGCGCAAGAAACAACCGAATTCAACAATCACCAAGTAATCCACGAGTAGCAGTTCATGAACGAGGGTCTCACTTCGGCACACAGCGATAAAGTTGGACACTCTAAATAAAGAATCGGACTGAAGCCTATACCATAATTTCCGCTACGCAGCGAAAAGTAAGAAAACACTGAGATAGTGCAACGCCGGTGACTCGATCCACACCACACACAACGCACGCACGCACGCACACACAGACACACGCGCGCGCACACACACACACACACACACACAACACACACACACAACACACACATTACACAGCACACACACACACACCACACACACACTACCACACAACACACGACACCGTTATATCGCTTGCATGAAAGACGTAAACTAATCACAATCTCTGGAAACGCACTGAAGGCCATACGTGGTTTTCGCTGACGCAGCAGGAAGTAGCAGATGCTAATATAACGAGGTGATGGACCCCCCCCCACACAACATAATCATACATTCCCTGTTTCGTAAGTATCGGTGGAAAGTATCGGTGGAAAGTATCGGTGAACGTTTGCTTCTGGACGTGTTTTTGTGTGAATATCGCGCTAAATTAATATTATTCGCTGTGGCCTTGTAAATTTGTTGTACGTGGGGTGTTTCCCTGTTTCGTAAGTATCGGTGGAAAGTATCGGTGTAAAATATCGGTGGAAAGTATAGGTGGATAGTATCGGTGGAAATTATTGGTAGACGTTTACTTCTGGACGCGTTCTTGTGTAAATCTCGCGCTAAATATTATTCGCTGTGCCCTTGTAAATTTGTTGTACGTGGAGTTGTTTCCCTGTTTCGTAAGTATTGGTAGAAAGCATCGGTGGAAAGTATCGGTGGAAAGTACTGGTGGAAAGTATCCGTGGAAAGTATCGATGGAAAGTATCGGTAGACGTTTACTTCTGGACGCGTTCTTGTGTGAATCTCGTGCTATATACTATTCGCTGTGCCCTTGTAAATTTATTGTACGTGGAGTTGTTTCCCTGTTTCGTAAGTATTGGTGGAAAGTATCCGTGATAATTATCGGTGGAAAATATCGGTGGGTAGTACCTATCGCTAAAAAGTATAGGCGAACATTTCATTTCTTGACGCGTTTTCTCGCCAGATTTTTCTTCTTCGGAAGGAAAGCGTTTTCCTGTGTCGTCGTCGGTGTCGTGTGTGAATTTTAATTATGCGTAAAGCCGGTCTTATAGGTCGGGTTTCCGATGAATGCCGAAGTTTCTTCGGGCACATAACTTTTTAGAAAATTGCCTCCAAAGGTCACTTTACGATCGAAAAATCGCGTTCTAACGTAGCGGAATGTATTCGGGACGTCCAGAAGGGGCCCCAGCTCGATTCGCGTGAGCACACGTGGCACGGTTTCGGAGGAGATACGGAAAACGACACTTCGGCTCTTTCTACTATTATATATTATAGATAATTGTAGTATCGTAACTCACAATATTTAAGTTGTTAGCGATTATTGCTTCGCTACTGTCTCGTTTCCCCTTATTTAACTTCTGTTATTATTATTATTATTATTATTATTATTTTATTCTGCTCTGCACCCATTATTTCCCCGTGTCTACTTTCTCTTCCCTACTTCCACGACTCTTCCCCCCAGTAGCAATCATCCACCTGTCTACCTCTGTAGCCTCAACAGGAGCCTACACGAGTAGATAGCTAACTTTAGCGAAACCTTGTTGTTTGTACCTTGTAGTAGACCTTGTAGTAGACTTTGTAAAACCTTGTAGTAGACCTTGTTACCAACAAGGTCAACGATGAAGTGCATATATATATATATATATATATATATATATAAGTA